AAAATCTGAATTAACTGCGAGTATTTATTATACCCATGAATGATAATATTTCCTTTTTATGTATTTATTAGCTCAGGATATTAGTTTCCTGTATATCATATTTTTGAAAATGCGAATATTACTAGAGTTTGTCGCGTTTCATTTGATTTAAAGTTGAATTCTTTGTAATGTTGTGATGTATATATTGCTATCGTGAATAATTAAAGTAGCTTTTTGTTGATACAATCATGAAACTTTCTATTTAATTAATGTTGCGGTATTTTCCCATGGCTGTTGTTTTAATTACTTTTTCAATTAGAATTGCATCAGTTAATTATCGCGTTTCTAAATAATATTACGTTTATAAAATGCTCAATTCTTCCATTAAGGAACATACTTTTATAAGTATAAATTAATATTTATTAGAATTACTATTGTAATTGTTTTAAGGAGTATATCGTTATCTTTTTTTATCATGTTTTTTTCCTTTCTTAATGGTTAGTTAATTAGTATTACAAGTATGATAAAGCACTCTCCATGATTTTCATTTTAAAAATAAAATGATTGATTAAATTTTTTTCTTTTCATAGAAATATAAAATATTGATACAAATAAAAAATAGTGTAGGCAATGTGTAAGAAGGGATATCTTATTTATAATTTTATAGCAAAATTTAATTTCAATTCCAACCACTGATAACATTGGAATCTTGCTCCACGTTGAATCGGCAACGTTGAAAATGACAATACTTAAAATGGTAACTGAATTTAAATTTCCCTCAGAAGTGGGAAAAAAGAAATATTGTAAAGTACTTTTATATATAGTATAGTGTAAAGTAATGAGAATGAGTGACGAAATCAGATATTTACTTAAATACTTACCAATTAGGAGAAAGGATATGTAATACTTACCGTGAGTAGATATTTTATTTAACATGCAGAACATAAATGAAAAGTAGTTTTCTTCTATTGCACAAACATTTTCATAATTATTGGATGAATGCATATTCAATTGTACTACATTTACCATTTATTTATATATTAAAAACCGTGTAAATGTGATTGTGATTAGATCAATATCGTATCTCTTCCAGGAAAGAATATATATAATACTAATAATAAAATTTCAATTTTCCTTTAGATTGATTTAGAATTTTATTATAAATAATACTTTAAAGTTATACGTACTCAAGTATATACGTATATATATGAAGGAGAAAACTACTTTATCGATAAAATGAACGCTTCACTTACCTTAAGCTGTTCCTGTCGCTTGTAAGCATGTAGCATTAGTTGTTTTCTTTCTTCTTCTGACATTAATGGTTCACGAGCAGGTCTTCCGCCCCCTCTTTTCTGTAACTTGACAATAATCTTTGTCTTCTCGTTCATCCCGACGTAATTCTTCAACTTCATTCCCGGCAATAGTTCTTTCCCTGAGAACCAAAGTTGCGCCAGTTGCACGTCTATCACCTGTCGTTATAAAGCATTAGCTTTAATGATTAAACGTAACCGATAATAATTCTTCAACAATAAACAGGCAACGACGATCATTTGAATAAAATTTTGTTTGGAAATTTTATCCAAATAACATTGAAATCTAACCTCGAGCGATGCTTGAGTGCCGCTCAAGTCCTCCGTGTTCTCGAATTCCTGTCGAATAATGTCGTGAGGTGGAAGTCCCATAGGATAAACAATCGTCACGGCACCCCTCAAAATGTCCAATGCATCTTGCACAATTTTCTGCGTCATCAGTTTCTCTTGCTGCACCAATTTCTACGGAAAGAAAATACACCAAAGTCGCATTAGCAGAACGCATAGAACAGAAACGAGAAAAGTTTATCCTCGGGCCGATAAAAACAAGAAAGGAGAAACACACGCCTATACGTAAGATGAAAATTACCTTCGAAACCATAGTTCGTGCCTCCTCGATCGTTTTTTTCAAGACCTCCTGCATCTTCTCGTTAGGCTGTCTGCCGTTTCTACGGCCTGAAACGTGGAAACCACTTGTGGTAACATTCTGGTCGGGACTGGCCAGCAATTAATGCAACGATTACAAGCCCATTCGAAGCAACAAAAATCCTGGTTGAGCCAATTTCTCGCCTGCGTTGCACACTCCGTTCCCGATAACCGTACATTTGCATGCGCTCTAAACGTGGTCGTTTAGATCGGTATAAAACAAACTGCATCGTTAGGCCTTTCCCTTAGTTCAAAACACTGTTCGTCGTACGTACGAGACTTGAATGTTTACCAAAGTGATCCAACATGTTTCAAAAGTTTCTTCACTTTTTATAGTTTATTTTAATTCTTTCTTTCTTCTATTCTAATTCTTAATAATCGCATACAAAAAAATTTTAATCTTTCAGTATATAAATTTATGAAGATAATTATTCATTTTCCCCGAGAAAAGTAATCTACATATTAGTTACAATCGTCAGGTTATTAAAACTTGGCTTGATTTCATAGCTTTCGAAAAAGAGTTCAATATTTATCAGATTCTTTTTAATTAATCCCACGGACAAATTTATGTTGTTTTTACTAACGAATGACTTCGTAATCGCGATACACCTCGATATCTACCTTGTCCATTAATGCGAAAAAGTTCAACGATCCCTATTCACTGTCCCTATGGAGCAGTTGAATACGTTCCCACATACCTATAACGTCCTTGTTAAAGGTCCATCCGCCCATCGGTACGCATTTCTCACCCCACTCGTCCTTGAGTTTGAGCTCTTCGACCTGTTCGTCGGTGAGGCCCATCATGTTGTGGGGCAGCATGGTGCCGTGCTTGATCAGCTCCTCGATCTCTATATATATATATTTTTTTTTTTTTTCAAAAAGCACATACTGTGTGGTACACGGTTGAGCAAGTAACTCCGCGTAATTATTATCGTGACGCGACGTGTGACTAATATCATACAGCGCGTAGGATGGATGGGTTCATAAACTCAGAGATGGGTCGACTCGACTTCTTATTACGCGCTGTTATTACGAGCCGCGGGTGAGGCCTTCCACGAGAAAGAGATAATCGTTAATGGATTTCTCGCGTTAGCATTCCGACGGTATATGAAACCGAGATCGACTATAGCGAGTGCAGAGGATATGGCAGAAAAATCGTCGAGATTCGACTAGTACTCGCGTGAACATGCGACCACGTACGAATGATAATTCATTGCTTGAGGAATGTACGTGTGTAATTAAGTACATATGCCCACGGGGGATAGCGGATTGCTTCCTCGGCTAGGTGCGTTTAATTGATCGTAAATTATTATTCTTTCTCGTGGATTCACGAACTGTTAGGTAGAAATTATTGGTGTAATTATTTGCATAATTTTATGCAGATTTAGAAATTTGGAATTCCTTGCTGTGGAGATGGGATTGAAATCATCGTGGTTTAATGTGTTTTACGTTTTGCGTCTAATTGAAGTAGGTAACAGTTAAGTTCCAATAAGGTTATTACTATTACGGAAAACTAAGAATAAAACCTATTTCACGTGACAAAATTTCAAGAATTAACTAGAATAGTTACAAAGTTATAGTTGTTTAACAACTACGTTTAACAAAAATTTCTTCAACATCGACCATAGAAATGCAAAAATAAAGAAACATATCAAATTTAAAAACTCTCTCTCAACATGCAGCCGAGATTCAGTTTCGAAGATAGCAAGGAATCAAGACATAATCTTCTCTGTCTAGTAGGGGAAAATTCTCGTACAAGGGCAACATTAAAACGCGTCATTGGGTTAATGACACAATTGAAGAATAAATGAAGGGATACGTAAGCTTGTTATCGTCAATGAAATCATTGGTATTCGCGAGGCCCGCGGTAATGCCCCGATAAAATCGTACGCGCGGTTTGGCTCGCGAGGGGCCGTTACACGTGAAAATAAAAAAGGCCGAGGAAACGGTAATAACGCGTTGCACGCCGTTACCTCGGGACAGCTCATGCTACTTAACGTATGATTCTTGAACAGCGGTCGACACAGTGCCTAAATAAAATGCAACTTTCCACGGACCAAGCGAACATTTTCCTTTGCCACGCTGTTAGACGTGTCATCTTTCTCGATCTGATTCTCCCTCTCTTTTGCGAGATACGAGCGGCCATTACCGTAACATATTCTCGAGACTTTCAGCCGACCGTTGTAAATAATAGTAATGTCGTATATAATGTCTTCAACCCGTGCCTCCACGTGTGTGTCGTACAGAAACTGACTCTCCTCGCCTTTCTTCACGTGCAGCCGGACCATTTTCTCGGAAAGCTTCGGACAAAGCGTACGTGACCAGTTTCAGCTTCTATTAGCATTTATCACTTTATTTATATATGTGGGGATGTAACGAGCGGCAAACGCGAGATAAAGGATCGTAGACTTTGATGATAACTTGGGAAGAGTATCGTTGTTGCAAATTTGGGTTTGATGAACGGCAAGGATTCTTATTAATCCTCTTATTAATCCTTGCTTGGTTCGCGTTTCATATAACGTTAGGATATTATGACAGTGACATATATACGTAGTTTACTGCTAGCAATACGACAAACTGTCATCGTGGATATTTATTACCGCTCGTGACATAATTCCACAAACACAATAATGTAAATAGATTACCTTTTTACTATAGTTGATTGACTCCAAAGATTTGGTACTTTCAAGTTGATCAAAATCAATAATTAACGTTTAAAGAATGTCCAGATAGGTTATTCCTCGCGATTAAAAAATATAATCCAGTTGATATTTAAAATGAGAGGTGTGCAACACGTGTTAGTAGCGATAGTAGCGATTGATAATACTCCTCAAAGCGAAAATAGCAGCTTGTGTTCCGGCGAACTGATCGAGAGACGGCAAAATCGCAGCACGAACGTGAACACGCTGACGTATTGTTCTTGGCAACATGAAGTATCGATTAAACAGCTCGCTATTAACCGCTTTAGTTGCATCGTTCGTTACACGATTGGAAATCGTGAATAGGTATTTTGACTGTTTCAGAGGGACACTTTCAGGGGCAATGAAATGGCTCATACGCGAGGTGTGCAAAATAAAACGATTTCGTTTAATGAGTATATAATCGTGTTTCATATTATTGTATAATATACATATTTACATATTCTAGTGAAACACGAATTACAAGAATAAAGACGTATATCGTTACAAATAACGGAGAAACATTCAAACGCTCTCTCTCTCTCTCTCTCTCTCTCTCTTTCTCTCTCACGCATACGCACTTTCATTCACGGTGCTCTTTATTGGCGTTTTTTTGGACACAAAAATATCATTGATATATTTCTTTCTTTTCCATATAATTACTCTATATGTCAATGATGCAATAATAATAACATTAATAATAATAATAATTAAATATTCTTGACGTAACGTTCGTAGAATAAAAATCTATACACTTATGTCCGTAATTCATCCGTAACTTCATCTAAATTGTAAGTGACTAGTATTATGTTAAAATACACTTATAATTCGATTCGATGAGGTGTATTATTTCTCCGGGTCGTTTTCTCCCGATATTCGATATATTTATGTATATGTATATATTTATATAATATATTTTTTTCTTTTTCTCCGTTTTTCTTCTAAAGTGTGTGTGTGTGTGTATGTGTGTGTGTGTGTGTGAGGATGAGTGAGTGTGGGGTCCGAACGAAGGTGGTCCCTATGCGTTAATTAATGGTGCATGCACGAACGACGACGACGACTCGTTCTAAATGCTCGACTGGCCGAGAACAATCGACAAAAACAAGTTCCCCGAACCATCGGCTCGATTGACATTTATAATTTCAGACAGACAATTAACAATAGACTCTATGACAACTTTTCAACGCTTCAACATCGATAATACGAGTGATAATGACGATTGCTTAATTAATTACGAGTTTTACATCGTTCGCGGCCCGCGTTACTGTGAACCGCGGCCGCGATTGAAACTTACAAGTTTACTCAAAATCCTTTCGCATTGCTCGATTAAGTCGGATTAACCGTGATAATGTACAATTTAACGATAATTTTACGACGATTCGAGAAACGAAACGCAATTTGGAATCGCACGTACGGAAACGCGAACAGCGTTTGACGATCGATTTTCGCGTTAACTTCGCTTTTTTTTTTTTTTTTTTTTTTTTTCTTTGTTTCATATACATCGTATAATTGCGTATCCGCTAAACATATCCTCCCGTGGTCATCTAACTCGTGACACTTACAAAATGAATCGCTCTCTAAAAAGAATCATAGTCTTGAGATATTCAACACGATGGCGCCCTCTGATATCATACAATAGAAAAATTGGCATTTGGTCCGAAAGAAACATACAAAATAGGAGGCTCTTAAGTGCTATTAACGAACGAATTGCAATATTGTGCGCGGCTTCATTCACTTCATCGATCGCTTACGTATCATTTGGTGAGATTGGACATCGTGCGACGCCAAGAATTACATATACACACAGATTTTGCAACTGCGTGTCGCGTAGCGATTGTAAATCGAAAAATATTTTATATCCATTCTTTTTTTTTTTTTTTTTTTTTTTACATACTTTGCGTATATTAGTTATAATTATCTATCTAACCATTGAGAAAAGGCATCGGCACATGCTACGGGGTAGCGTTCTCCTTTCTCGTATTGACGAAACATCGCGAAAACTTGTTATACTCTACCACCAGTTATCGCCGAGGATAAAAGCATCGTTCTGTGGAACTTCGATCAACGATATAACATTGGACTACGGCTACTTGCAAAAATAATGCGCTGCATCCTACGGGGAAAAAAGACACTTACTAGCCCATTTTTTCTTCGACTCGGTCTCCTGCCTTTTGAATGTTTTTTTTTTTTTTTTTTTTTTTTTTTTTTTTTTTTTTTTTTTTTTTTTTTTTTGTTTTTTCTTTTTCTACTTTTCTTTTCTTTCCTTCAAACAAACAACTTTCACGGCATCACTGGACGGCAAGATCCTTAGACAATAAAACGTGACACAGAGAGAATTTTCGTCTAGAATTACGATAACAATAAATTCTTTACTCTTCGTCCTCTAACAACACGGTTAATGAATAATTCGTCTAACGCTATACATTTCAGGCTTCAACAGAAATTGCTTCACATCGATTAAAGCTCGAGCATGGTATCGTTAAACGTTTTCTGTTATGTATAGTAATTTTCCATTTGTGTCCCTTACGTCGTCAATTATAAATATCATCTAGTTAATCAACTCGAAAGAAACGCACGATGGGATTCATCTTTAACAGCGAGTTGATCCGTTACTTCCGTTCGAGACGTTTGCAATCTCTTCTTGGTCATGATTACCGACAACGTGGGCACGATCTGAATCTTCCTTTACTCCTCGTCGATCGTAGGCTGGACTTGCCGCACGTCCTTCAGGATTCTGTGTTCTTGATGTTGATCGTCCTGATCCTGTAGGTTAGCGTAAAGACCGTGCAACTGGGAGCGTTGCACGGTTGCCTCCTCTCAGACTTTGCTCTCGGGGCCGTCCGTCGTGTGCTTGAACGAGTTGCGAATTTTACTGAGGTGAAGGGCAGCGAGGTGGCCGTAGCTCTTGTTGTACCATTCTGGAGTGCGTCCTCTGTAAAAAAAATGAAAATTAAACGCCATGAAATATTTAGAATTACCGGGATTTGAAATTTCTTCTCTTTACGGCTTGTAGATACAAATCGAATTTCTTCAGTGTATAGCATTTCTTCAAATTCAAATTCAAAAGAATACGTACTTTGTATCCACTCTGGAGAGATGCATGATCCGTGATTTACCACTACCGCAAGGTTCGATTAGATAGCGCGAGGCTAAAACAATGCCGCGTGTTCCGCCAGGCATAACAGGAGCATCCGGATGTTCCACGGACGTTTCCACGATGACGCAGGCCCCTTTTGGGAGATCGTTACGCCAGGATCTGCACACAATGCAACGACGTTACATAATTTACAATTTCTTTTTCGACCGTCCCGTTTTACGTCACTTATAAATCAGCCAATTGAGATGATCGTATCGTCTCGAACGCGAATACACACCTTAGCACACAATAATCCCTGGCAGGAAGAGGGCTCATGTTCCCAGTGGCGTACTGAAAGACCTCCACGTTCGCATCTAGCTTAGTGACCAGTCTGTACTTCAAAAGCTGCGGATCCCAGATATGTCTCTCTCTCAGAACACGGTGAAGGAGCTCGTTCGGCGGAGCTTCTACCTCGGTTGACACTCGCCACAATCGGAGCGGATGTCCGTCCCCGACCTTTTTGTACGCCATTTCCACCGTGCTATCGGCTGGGTTGCTCACCGTCACCCATCCCCGACTTCTGTGGAAAGTATAGATCACGCAATCAGCTACGTGCATATATACGGTATTCATTCCAAAAAGGAGTTGCTTGACGAGAAGTAACGAAACTCTATTAAGAAATTATTCAAATGCTAAATAATTCCTAATTGCGGAAAATAGTGAACTGATCGTTTTGATAGTTCTGGCGTAAATGGAGATAGGATAAATATCGAGACAAAATTACGGCAAAGAAAAGTCAGATTTACGTACTTTTCGCGCGCTTCTTTCAAAAGGGCCGTAGTGCAGGCGTAGAGGTATCCTCTCCAGTCCTGCTTGAGCTCGGATCCCAGCTCTTCCAACGCGACTGGCACGCTCTCCTCCATGTAATTGAAATGACACTGCGTCAACATATCCGACGAGACCTGATGCAACAAGGAACAGAGAAACGAGAATACGATTAACTCGTATTTCCCTTGATGATTCGTGAGAATAATAAACACACATACACACACGCACATATGTATATACACATGTACGTGTGTGTATATCTCTCGGATTCGAGCGCGATCACAATCACCGTTTCGAGACGACGACGACGGATGACGCTCCTCTCGAACGACCTGGACGTTCGGCATCGAGCCACTCACCATGAATAATTCACGATGCATCTTGACCAGATACAGAAGACAGTCGTGAGCGGCTTTGTTTTCCGACAGTTCCCTCTGATCGGGAATGCCCACGGTCTTTCTCCTACGTGGCGATACGCTGCTCGACCTGTTGGTCACGTTCGTGTTATTGTGGTTGAAGTGGAACAGGCTCGGTGCCAGGCACACGGCCAGGTTCGAGGCTGTCATTTGGTTGTAGGGAGCGTTGCTCGCTACGTGGTTCAAGAAATCGAGCAGAGTTTCCAACGCCTCCCGGTGCTCGTCCGGCAGAAGCAGCAGCACGCATTGCACCGCGTCCGGCCGCAGATCAACAGGTACATCTGTAATAATTACGGAACACCTATAATTATCATCGTCCCGATGCTTTTCCTTCACTTTGTCGATAAATCATCGGTCCAGACGTATTCGAAGATACACGAGATCAGGAGCACTAGTGATTCTCTGTTAATTTATCATAATATATCGATGGAACAAATGTGTACATGATACTCACGTTGAAAGATGGCGATGAAGGTCTCGGACAGCTTGTTCGTTAACAACGCTTCTGGCAACTCTCTGAAGTACTGCTTGACGAGATCGGCTACGTCAAAGGCCTGTTGACCGTCGAAATTGATATTGTCACCGAGAGTCTCGGTCATCATCTTCAGTTTCTGTATCCTCGACTTGACACCGCTTTTTCTAAAGATTCCAACTTGATCGAGGGCGTTCGCCCTCAGCCATCTGAGCGCGATTTGAATACACTTTGGTAAGGCCTGGCCGGTTCTCTGCAGGGATAACAACAACGGCACCCCGAACACCGTTTTATCCTTGTAGTCGGGTGTCTTTATCTTTCTGATGAACTTTGGCAATTCCCAGTTCCAACCGGTACGATGAGTCGGACAGTATCGTTCCATGCAGGCGGTCAGTTTCAATAGTGCTAGCTTCCTCAGTACTAAGAGTTGGCCGCAGGACATCGAGGCCATGGCTCGCGGACACAGAGGGTCCAGTGGCTCCGGGTACAACGATCCCCTCTGAAAACTGTGCCACCTAACAACGGTACCCTTGTGTCGCGGCGAGTCCTCCTCCTGATCTGAATCACGACTGGCCACCGTCGAACTGCTCTCCTGGCTACCAGCCAGTTCCGAACTCCTGGATCTCGACTTCTCTCTGTAAACGGTCACCTCTTTGGACAATGGTTTCCCATCTCTGTACGAGTCGTCCCGGTGCCTGAAACTCTTGTGCATCTTGTCCTCCCTCTTCAACGCGGCCACCTTGTCTTCCTTGTACCTCTCCTGACTCTGGCCCGACAACTTGTCTCTGTACCTCTGCGACTCCTTTCCAAGATTCAGGCTCCCCCCGCGACTGTTTATCGGAGTTTTGGTCGGCGAATCTTTGGGACTCTGGGGATGGGCGGTCACGTATTCCAACACCTTGGCGTGATTGCTGTTCGCGTCCCTGAAATACCTGTGCCGCCAACTGGTTGGCTGACACTCGGAGTCGCTGAGCGCCCCTTGATCCTCTCGACCACGATGCAAGAATCTTTTCGCCCGATTCATCTTGGTGCGCGTCGGCGTAGGCGTCGGGCCGCCTCCTTGTGACCCGTCCGAGCAATAACTCGACGAATCGTCGCCGAACGGGCTAGGCGCGTTGGTCAGAGGCGAGGGTGGAAGGTGATAAGGCGAGGCTGGCAACGTGACGGGCGATCCGGGCACGTGCAGCGGCGAGCCTGGCAGAAGATCGTTGAACGACACCGGCGCAGGCCCTGTTGGCGACACATCCACGCAGTTCAGCTCCTTCATCTTCTGCTGCATCGACATCACGTCTAGGATTTGGGGCCCGCTGATCACGATGCCGTCGCGATTCTGATGCTTTCGTCGCCGCGATTTCAACGACTCGACCCGCCTGAGGAAAGCCTTGGCACCGTCCCTCAGCCTCTCGGAGCCGGTTCTTCGAAATCGCGGGCTGATCTCATCGGGAAGCGTACCAGGTGGCAGGCTGCTGTATCTCAGAGTGTCCAGCATCGTGTCCTCGGCCTCTTCGGCTTCCAGCCGATCTTCCAGCGAGTCCTCCTCGTTGGATTGCACGTTCTGGCCGGCGATCGCTTGCAATCTCTCCACGTTGCTTTGCGTCACGTCGCACACGCGGGACCAGCGTCTGGTCTTCTTCTCGAACGTCCAGTTCTCGCTGAGGGCGCACTGTGTGTCCTCGTCAGAGTCGTCGCCGCCACCCTGCAACGTGCGAGAAGGTGCGTTGAGCGAGAATGACCGACAATTAGGCCGTCCTTAATTAAAAGAAAAGTTACGAAACGCAACCTGACCTTAATCGCAAGTCTCATTTGCACCGAGCAACAGTCACGCGTTGTCTCGTCACGTGAATTTCTTCGATTTGCTACAATTGACGTTAAAAACCAGCCAGATCTACTCGCCTATATCGATACGATACTTTATCATTACCGGCAGCGAGGCTTACAGAAGATCACAACGAGCTAATGACCCGATTCGGTGGAGACGTGGACTCGTGATACACGCGAGATGACGCGAAGAGGAACGTTTCGTGCAAGATTAACGACTAGCAGCGAATGTTTAGCGGCCACTGGTGGCACTGGTTGATCATCAATTTGCGTTTGATGTAGCGACAAATTAAGGACCACCGTCGGGGGACGCTATCGTGTCTTATAATTAATTGTAGAAAGCGTTTCGAGCCCGCTGCCTTTACCTATGGTGTCCCGCGATCGGCTGCGACACCAGCTAACATAAGCTGAAGATGGATGATTGTTCCGGCACCGTGCGCGAAGAAAGAAGCCACCAGCATTTTTTCAGTTACCACCAGTTTCTTGCGATGAAAATACCTTGCTCTTGAATAACCAATCGTTCCCATCCGTTTCGTTGTGTTTTGTAACGTCGTTGACCAACTCTTCTGTTCGAACTTGCTCGTGGAAATCTTGAATTTCTCTAGTTAACGCGATCCGACTAAAAGTATTTACATAACGTTTCACGTCAGCTGGCCGTAATAACGAACTTAACAAGCCATTGATCGCATTCTGCCTTCGTGCTCGCCGGCTAATTACATCGCGACAGCCGCTGTACTTGATACATAATCGTGGAAGAAATGAAAAGAAGAGAAAACGAGAAAGGAGAGTTACGCAATGCGTTTGGAAATGTACAGAGCTGTCGAGTAATCAAACACTTAACAGCAATGCGTCGGTGTTCCAATTCCTGCTAATTGCACCTAGCGAATTATCATTTCCTGGCTTTACGTTCTATCGGACTTGATTAACAACCTGATTCCGACAGGTCGCCAAATTAATCTTGCAACTTTTCTATTCGAGTGATATTGCAAACTCAAGTTTACATTACCGCCGAACTTTGGAACGATGGAACTTTGGAAAAAGTTCAGTAAGAGTAATAAGCAAGAGAAAGAAAGAAAAACTCCTCGAATGATTTTTTTTTTTAAACTTTATCCGCAAGAAAGAAAGAGAAAGAGCTCATCGGTCAAAAGTTTGATTCCATTTGCTACGAAGAAAAAAAGAAGAACAATCTTACAGAATCAGCTCGAATTTTGCAACTTTCTCAACAATCATCTCAAATTGGTATTCTACGATTTTGCCGGAATGAAACATACACACCGAGTTACGATGCAAAGCGGCCAAGAAATTAACGTGGAATCTGAACGTTTGAGAGAACGACGCCAGATGAGGTAGATGACTAAACTGGAACGGCGTGTCCCTTCTGACAACCATAGGCAAAATCCCCAGTCCATTTTCTAACAATGAGGCCGACACTCTGTCGCTCGTTACGAAACTTGACGCCTTTGTTGTTTCCACGCAGGGCTACGAGAGCCAACCGGGAGAGTGTGTGACCTTACGTGATCCTCGCCACACATGACAATGGACCGGGTTTCACCTCGCGTCGCTTCGCACGGTTGCCATCGGTGGCATCGTGGCGAACAGCTAAACTCTTCTTCTTCTTCTTCCTCTTCTACTCTCGGAGGCGCTCGCTGTCCAGGAAGCGAGCATCACGACTTAACCATCTTGTACTCGCGAGATTTTTCTCATTTTTTTATTTCATTCCGTTTCGTACAGATACTTGGAGGACATAGTCTTCATGCCTGTCTAATCGCTGTCGTGCTTATATCGTTCCTTTTTTCTATTTTGTTCAACTCCCGTGAGATTTTTCGAGGAGTTTTGTCGAAATACTAACCGTTTCTTCTTTCCTCTTTTCCTTTTTTTCTTTTTTCTCCTCTCTCGTCTTTCTGTTTTACACTTCACCGAGGAAACGTCACGAAATGAGTCGACGATTATGCGAGGGAATAATAAATTGAATGTGGGCCACGTGGTGTTAAAAATACACGGTGTTGCAGAAATGGGATATTCGTTGAGAATAAACGGACTCTCGACCGGGAATAGATTTTTCGAATCGTCGATGTCTCTCCAGACATCAACTGGCTACTCGATCGCTCATTCCAACGGAAGCAATAATTCTCTGTCACTGGCTAGATGAAAAATTCGAATGATGCCAAAGTTCGTTAGAATTTCATTACAGACGACAATCTAGACACGCTTACAAGAATATAGATAGACGCATACATTAATAAAAAAAAAAAAAAAAAAAAAATAGAACGTATCTGAGGGAAGATTTCTATAAATTAGAAAATGGCTTGAAATAGAGCTACTCCAAATAAATTTGTCCCTATGCTATATCCGAATATAACCAACATTTCAGTAAATTATATATATTTTACTGGCGTGTATAGTAGAATCAAGGAATTTAAGGGCTTCTAATAACAAGAGGAATCAAGAACGTCGAGTTTACATAGATTCTAAAATCAAGTCGTGTTGTGAAGTGTGAAGTGTAATTTTAAAAAAGTAGTGTAGTTATATCAGTTCGCAATATCAAAACGCAGTGTGTGTCGGGCGATATGGAACGAGACGACGATATTTACGTCCATTCAAGTAGTTTACAAGGAATTATTATTATTATTAAATAAAAATTATTATTTCACATTGTTCTTTAACACATATCGGGAACTCCAAAGTATTCTAAATTATATTTTAAAAACGAATCTTCGTTTTGACACCAGTCCAATCTTCGCTAACTTGCAACTAATTCAGTTACAATTGCGCGAAAGCACTCGAGATGTAACAGGTATCTAACCAGTAGATACCCTAGATAACTAGATAACTAGATACCCAGTGGATACCCTAGATAACTAGATTACTAACTAGATAACTAACCAATCAAATAACTTGAACAATTCGTTCCAAGTTCCAACCATTTTCTACCTCTTCAAACATCTTTTACCATCCACCGTAAATCCTGAAAGTCTTAAACCCGCGTTTCTTTTTTTTTTTTTTTTTTAACATGGCATGTACACGGACGAAATTATCGAGAAACACGGTTGACGAGCAGTAATTCTTGTAAGACGTGAGGAACGTGTCTCATGAGGACGTGTACACCCTGTTGTCCGACTGGTCCGAACGAAGGGAACCTTATCCTCAAGGACAAGGGGGCAAGGCGAGCGTGAGAGAGGGAGAGAGACGGGAGAAGCCGCGTTTCGCGTACGATTATCGGCGATCCGCCACTTATACTTCTCTCGCGTATCTGCGTTTCCGTTCCGGCGTGTTACCGCGCGACGTGACGATTCCCTCCAACGTGAGTTATTTCCGCGCGTGCACCAACGAGCCGTGTCGCCCCACGTTGCCGCGACGTCACTTCCGTCTAAGCAGGTTGAACAAACTCTGGGTGTTTTATGCGTGACAATGGACTCGTAAAACGAACAGCGTTTCGCGCGAGTTTTATGGTCTTCTACTATTTATTCTGCGCGAATGTTAGTTTATCGTTCTTTTTTAACTGCCGGTTACGTGCGTCTAGCATCCACGAGACAGAATAAAATTTCCCTTCCCTTCCCCCCCCCCTGCCTCTCTTTCTTTTTTCCCTGATAGACGCACGTTCTTGTTATTTTTAGAACCGACGATCGAAGATTCGATTCGCGTGTCCGAAACGCTCTACAGTTTCAGTTGCTTGAAAATTTCATGGAATCGCTTGGAAAAGTGTCGAAGTCCTAATCTCTCTTACAAAATTCTAAACATCTGGCAAGTTTCAATCGTTTCAATCGTTTCTTCTGTTTTTATACGACCGAGTTTCATCCAGTTTCATCCGTCCATGAATGGGCACGCTTTTAAACTATCGAAGCGTCAAAGCAATTTACATCCATATACGCGAAACAGTCTTTAAAAATCGAAGTTTCTTCGTAAACTTTGCGACGAGGTACAAACGCGATCAAACTTGCAGAGGACAACAGACAAACGTTTCGACGTTCCGATTAAAACTCGTGTATACTACGTGTATTTTCGCGCTCGAATAAATCACCAACTTCGCATCTCGAGAGAATAAAAGTCGCTCGACGTTCGTTGCACTCCGAATTTAGATTGCGATGACGGTACAATGACCCAGATCGCCGTGCTCGCTCGTTAAAAGAACCCTTAGTCGCGCATTAGTCGTGGCTGTCCCGCGTCAAGTATCAATTAAACGTGCCCCTCTCGTCGCCCGATCTCGTCGTTTCCCTGTAATTGGCCCGCTGGACCAACGGATCGCCCCCTTTGAATCTGGTAATATATTTCTGGCGTAGAAAATCCATGCATACGTTTCCGCGTTTCTAACTTTACAATTTATGAAACGAACTGTCAAACGTCACGACGCAACCGTTGAGATTATATCTGTTAAATTCAAGAAAAATGGATATATAGGAGCGGAGATAAATATTATTATTTTATCGTTTAATTATATTATTTATTTTAGAATAATACGATTTTGGTTCGTGTAGTATACGATGTGTGTCTGATAAAAATTACCAGTATTTATTTATTTTCGTTGATTTTTCAATTTTTTTTAAATTAGATTTTTCATTGTCAATTTTTCCTGTCTACTGTATATGTATATGTTATGTTAGTTTTCAACTCATTGTGGACCAAGAGCAGATATAGTTAGAAAAAGACAGAAAAAGAGAGAGAGAGAGAGAGAGAGAGAATTTGAACAGCGAAAAGCGTAACCTTCATTAAAAATCCTTTTATCCACGGTCTGATATGTCGAGTCTTTAAAAGACCGCTTGCTTGTGTCACTCGCGAGTATGTACATACATACGTAGTCAGAGTGACTCTGACGCGAGATAATATGAGATATCTGACGTGATGTGACTGCGGGGATAAATGATTCAAGAGGTGAATAAGTTA